CCCACAGACAATGGAAAAGGGTTCCTTTTTCAAATAAGCATTTATCGCATGTATCTGGAATGTCGCTGGACATATGATGAAGCCAAACTGGTGTTAAATAGGTTCTCATAAGCCATTTATATTGCAGAAGTTGAAATCGTGTGTTTATCGTTTGTTTTTGTGCTTTTAAGCAGGCCTGATTCCAGTCTTCCTCATCTATATCTGCGAGAGTGTCTTTTCTCCAAGCTTCTAACTTATCTATTGCTGAGTCCTTAGAGGAACGCATCAACAAATTATAGAACACAGAAAGAAAACCTTTCCCTTTTAAATCCCCAACACACACCTCTTCTGTTTTTGTTAAGGGTGGAATGTCCTCTATTCGTTTCAATTTTGATGACATATAGTTTTTCAATTGCAAGTATTTAAAAAAATGTTTTGGGGGTATTAAATACGTAATACATAATTGATTGAAAGTAAGCAATATGCCATCAGCATATAGAYCTTTAATTTTCTGAATGCCTTTAGTTTTCCACTTTCACTGTTTTATTTTACAGAAAACTTCATCTTTCCTGCCTGAAACGCAGTGTCTCTAACGTCCCCCTCTGTCCGTCCCCCTCTGTCCGTCCCCCTCTGTTCTCAGTTCCTGTCCAACCCTGCGGTGACCTTTGGGACGGCCATCGCTGCCTTCTACCTGCCGGTGGTCATCATGACGGTTCTATACGTCAACATCTCTCTGGCCTCCAGGAGCCGAGTCTCCAAACACAAACCTGAGAAGAAGGACAAGAAGTAAGACCTGCCTGCTGGGTTTCAGTCCTCCAACAGTTCTACAAATGACCCGCTTCTTGTCCCGCAGGACTCCGGGCCTGTTGAAGACCCACCTGATCAAGCAGAACAACAACAACGAGACCAGTCCTCAGGCCAGTCCACGGTCCACCCCCAAGCTCAGCATGGACTCCACCACCACAGCCCTGGAGTCTGTGAAGAATGGACGGGTGGAGGACCCCAAACCTGTTGACCCAGAACCTGCAGTGCACCCCAGTCCCAGACTGACCCAGGTACCGAGCTCACCTCTCAGCTTATTGTTTATTGTGATTATTCACTCGTCAACAACAACTGAGTTTGGTTTAAACCCATAAACGATAAAAAGAGGATCCAGATCCCTAAGAGACCTTCTCCTGGGGGATCCCAATGAGGTCCCGGTCCAGCAGAGCTCTGTAAACCCTCCCCTGACCTGACTCCATCAGAAGGATCCACCTGATCCACGTAAACCAACCCCTCCAGATGGATCTGATCTGTCTAAGTTCTGCTCCACCTGGACCTCAATTCCGGACCATGGATCCAGAATCTCAGTCCTTTGGTCCTGATCCTCATTAAGAACAGGTCCTGTGAGCCAAATGTCTCCACTCATGATCTGTGACCACTTCCTCATGGAGAATCTCAGATCTGGACCCAGGTGTAGGGTGAGGGTCAAAAACTGAAACAAGAACACCGGGGTCCTCGAACTAGACCCAAACTAGACAGATCAAAGTTTGTCTGGTCCAGTTCTGGCCCACACTCAGCCCAGATACTGCAAAGAATAATGGCCCTGTGGTGGCCCAGATGTGTTTGGCCAGAGGTGACCCATGCTCAGACCAGCACCACATAAATCAAACCATGACCGGGCCAGATGTGGCCCACCATCATAAACACAGCACCATCCTTGCTGGACCTGGCCCACATCTGGTTGACAAACCACTTGTCAGCCAGAAGTACCAGCTTGAGACCAGACCTGGACCCCCTGTTGAGAAGGGGTCTCTGCAGTCACTAAGTAGGCGTTTCTTCAAAGACCCCTACCTGTACCGGTCTGCTATGGGGGTCTGCTCTTAAAGATCCTGCTCACCAGGACCACAGACCTGATCCTAGACGAGGTACGGCCCTGGTCAGACTGATGAGCTTCCTGAGGGTTCAAACAAGTCCATGAATCTGGTCCCAGGATTCTCCTCAACAGTGTGGACCACATGGTCCACTGGTCCATGATCTTAGTCCTCTGGTCCTCTGGATCCTCAGAGGAACTTTCCCCATGAGGCTGAGGACTGGGACCATCTGATGGTTCTTCTGTAGACGTTCAGACTACCAGAGTCCGACAGAGACTAGTTTTAATAAACAGACTGTTTTTATTTTTAATCCCAACAGAAAAACAGTTAAATAAATAAATAAAAAACATCAAAGCTTCTTATTTTTATCTTCYTACAGAAACCTCAGCCTGAACTTGTCACAGTCCAGAAAACTTTAATAACCTTAAAACCTGAAATTCATGAAGACAAACTGACTGGATGGATTTAATCCCTCCTGGGTCCACAAGATCAGTTTCAGTGGGGGTTCTAGCTGTTCTACAGTCCTGGATCAGAGGTCTGGACTGCAGGCAGGTCAGTTAAGGACCTGGGGCCTCATGTACAAAGACTTGTGTGGATTTCTTACTGAAACCTGACGTACGGTCAAATCCAGAAAACGG